AGATTTTAATATATTCTATGATAGTTGGAATGATATGAAACGTGCCATTATTACTTTAATTAGAGAAGAAGGTGGCATGGATGAGGTAAATCAAAGATTACAATTATTAGAAGAATTTGTCGCAGAGGTAGTAAAGGCGCAAGTGTTGGTGGATGACTTGGAACCAATGCAGGCACAGCAAAAGGCATTAAACAACTTATTAGATGAATTAGAAAACTTAAAAATTGATTATGATTTTGTGTACTTACGACGACCCGATGCAATTACCACTGAATTTGCTGAAAATTGGGCAAAGGTTCCAGAATACTTGAACGAACGAATCATAAAACAAACGACTGCAATTGAAAATCTAAATCACTTTACAGCGGAATATAACGCCATCATTGTGGTTTTACGTAAACTAGAGTCCACACTTAAACAAGATGGAGATACTTTAAATGTCCGAAACAGTGAGATGGATAATCAACGTTTTAACATGGAGTTGCGTAAGATCGAAATCGACGTTATAAGTGCTCGTAACTTCAGCGAGATTATTATAAAGGATGCGGAAAATACACATCGCACACATTTGCTGAACCAAATAAAGGAATTGAATGAATTTTTCGCAAATGTGCAGAATTTGCATAAGGATTATGTATACAAAAGAACACAAATACTTGCCAAAACTGAAGAGATTTTCGACCGTTTGAATAAAACAGAAGATTGGCTTAGCGAACTCGAAATAAATACGCCAAAAACGAAAATTTCCGAGATAATGAACTCCAATGAACTCTTCCAGATAAAATCCAAATTTCAGACATTGAAAGAAACATGTGAACGTGAGACAGATAACTTTCGAGAGCTGAACGATCACGGCGGGGATATTTTATTACAAATAGACGAACTCAAATCGACGGGAGAAGAAAAAGTAGATTCAGAATATGCCTTGTTAACAAAGAAAGTTACACGTTTAAACGCGCGTTGGACGCAGGTCACGGAATTAGTTTATGCAAAAACAGCTTTACTAGAACATATATCAACACAGTTAGGTGAGTTTAAAAAGTTTATGGTGTCTGAATCGGGTTATTTAGATCGTCTGGAAAATAAAATCCGCAGTACACCAGAAAATGCAGATGCAGAAGAAATCATAGAAGAGCTGGATGTAAGTACTAATACTATTTGAAAAAGTTGTAAATGTTAATTGTTTGAAAATATTTTTCTATTAGGATTTGGAGAATGTATTACGTGCGCATTCCGATGAATGGCTTGAAAAAATTCAAGAAATTGGCAGTGAGCTAATTGAAAATGAGTTTATGGCCAACTCAGTAAGAGAAGAGATCGACACAATTGTAGAGCGGTGGACTCAACTACAATATAAGGCTAAACAGCGTACTGAAATATTAGAGAAAGAAGTCAGTGAAGCTGAACAATCTGAAAAATGTATAGTACAATTCGAAGCTTGGCTTACCCGTGTCGATGAGATACTCAGCGAGCATCTGGAAAATGATGTTACAATTGAGGATCTTCCTGAAGAGTTTCAAGTAAGTGTATGAAAGATAATGCTAGAAGATTGAATAATAAAACTAACTGTTTCTGCTTCTAAAGCGGTTGGTTAAAGAATTTGAGGTAAATGAAAAATCCTTCAAAGAAATCGAAGATGTTATAATGGAACTTACACGCAATGGAAAGCTGGAAGCTGCTAACCGCTTACAAGAACAGCTAAATCTTATGGAGTTACGCTTTAAGGCATGTCAAATTAAACTGAACAAGTGCACTGCCCCACAGCCAGCTTATGAATCACGTCTGAATCGTGCTGTAGCAGAGTTAAGAAACGTGGAACGGTCTACACTGGTGTTAGATGTAGCTTCTGCTGGTCCGAGCACTGTACAAATACAGTACCAAAAGTGCTTGGTAAATATAAAAATATTTTATATATAAAAAAAATTTATATTAAAAAGTAACTTATATAACTATTTTAACTTTAATTATTTTAGCAAATTTATCGTACGTTGTCAGAAATTAAGTCTGAAATTGAGAGCACTATAAAAACGGGGCGCAAAGTTTGTGAAGACAAGTTCACAAAATCACCGAAGCATTTAAGTCAACGTATAGACGCTCTAAAGCACCTCTACAATGCGTTGGGAGAAAATGTAACGCAATCTAAAATCTTTTTGGAGACTTTATTGAAACTAGCACATCAACTTGATGATTGCTTTGATAGTGCCGAACAGCTTATACTTCGTTTTGAGGCACTTCAAGAAATGCATGAACGCAACACTGTATTTTTAGATCTGGAAGATGTCTTACAAAAATGTGAAGACATTTACGAAGAATACAGGCAATCATGTGATCAGACCTGTATGGAGGACACACGTAAGAGGATTGATAAGCTTAAAGCCACTTACTTAAAGCATACCAGCGCTGATGTGATAAAACGACTCACCGAAATGAAAACCACTTTACAAAATTTGGATAATATATCGTTGGAAACTCTAAGGTGTGTCCTAACCTATATTGTTTGTAAATAAAAATATTGTTTTAAAAATTGCTTGCTCTGTTTTCTAGGGCAATGGAACATGATTTAAAGCAGATTAATGTACCCTCGAATCCTGAAATTGAGAACTTACAGCAACAAGTGATTGCAATTGTAGTGGTAAGTATTATTTGGAGACTTCATTTAAAATGCAAACTGTAAATACATTTTATGATAAATGTTCCTGCTTTATTGATTAACTGCGTTCTGATTTGGGATTTGCTTAATATCATTTATCTACTTTAAATTTAAATTTGATTAAAATTATTTCTATGTCATATTTAAAATATTTATTTAAACATTTACTATTATCTATTATTAGCAAAACTGCCTATAACGCTTAACTAAAACCTATTTTTAATTAATTTTAATTAACTTGCACATTTATTATTTTACTATTAAAATTTCTGTTCACCTTATTATTAATATATAATCTTACTCTAGCCCTCGTAGTGATAATAATGCTTTAGAAATAATTTCATTATGTAAAATGATATAAACATATATATAATTAGTTTATGCACATCATTTTATCATTTTAAATTACCCACTTTACCCAGGTAATTAGTGTATCACTAAAAATTTCAACAGCAGAAAGTTGGTGTCATTTTTGTAGAGTTTTATAAATTAAAAAAAAAAAATATATATATATAAAAGTGGTTAGTGCAAATACCGGCAAATACCGGCAAGAGCATTTAAAAAACATCTGTAAATGTCCCTTTCCATTATTTAACATCAAAATAAATATTAACATCACCATTTACCCAATGCAATTTGGTATTGGCAACGCTATTGGAGACTTATTTTGTATAACATATTGGCGACTTAAGTATGCACATTAATTTAAAACTCGCCTAACATTTTTTAAGAATGTAGTTTTAAGCGTTCTTCACAACATTATTTAGTTAACTTGGTTCACAGTAAACTGCAGTCATAAAAAGACATACTTTGGAGACATTTGTATAATACTTAAAATTTTCACAGGATGCGGTTAAGACCCTTTTTGATGAAGCTTCAACACTAGAAGCTGACTTACCTGCTGATTCGTCAATCAAGACACATACAAATTTAGATGAAGACACTGAAATTGTTATTGTAAGTGACACTGTGCGACAGCGTCGTGCAAGAACACCTTCGGCAAATGATGCAAATACAACGCAAACCAGTATTGAATCAAACTCTCCAACACGCGTTATGAAAGAGGAACAAACTATTGAGCAGCAAGTGCTCCCAGACTTATTGCCTCCGCAAACATTTCGATTGGCTGAATCGAGTTCATTATTTTCTCAAATATCTCTAAATCCTCAAAGTTTAACAGAACAGAATGAAGTTAGAAACAATTCCCATAAGTTGCCAAAAAGCAAAAGTGGAGAAAATCACGCCCAAATGGTCGAAATCAAAGCAAAAAATATTCAAAACGATAAAATGTCCGTGCAGAACATAGAGTTGGAGCCACACATAGGCGAAATAGTCGATACAGTAAACATTTTAGAGAGTGTTGAGCCTTTCGTGCCAGAATATGTAGAAACTGTACAAATTATAGATCTATCTGAAGACTCAGATTCGTCTATGCGAATAGATGCTGATGGCAAAGAAGTCCGAAGAAGTAAAAGCAAACGTTCGCTCTGTGAGTCTCCTAAAGTTATGTTTAGCGAAGAAGTAGAACTGAGACCCGAAGCTAATAACACTAGCACTCCGATATTGCGTGTAGAAAAGCAAAGAATTTCTTTTGAGGAAAAACGTAAACGTATGGAAAATGAACGTGACATATTACGTGACTCGGAAGAAGAATGCGATGACGATTCCAAAGAAACTGAATTAAAGCAGCCTAAAGCTAAGCGTTGGCGTCAATTGAAAATGACAGTTGAAATACCAACTGAGAGTTTAAGTGGACTTGAACTAGAACGAAATAGTTTTTACAATGCTGATAAGGAAACTAGTTTTGATGTAGAACCTTTGGTTTTTTCTGACGATGAAGAAATTCCGCGCTTCTCAATGGAAATGACACCAACTTTTGATTCCGATAGTGATACGGTAATATGATTAATAATTAATATTGGAAAATTATTGAAATTAATACAAAAAATTAAAAATAATCGTTTTTGAAATGAAAATCATACTTATTTTACTAATAAAGACTATTTTTATTTGGTAGAGTCGCATGGAAACACCCTCAACTAAAAAATCGGACTCTTGCCATAACAAAGTACTGTCAAATTCCACTTCCATAGATGATTCTAATATAACACTTCAGAGTCCGGATATGGAAATATTAAGTAACAACGTCCGCATGTCAGACTCATCTTTAGAACAAAGAGTAAATGAGTTTGAAAAGATGTCCAAATATATGATTAGAAAATTGGAAACCACTAAGGAACTTATAGAAAATTGCCCTGACGGTGAAGCGTAAGTTGCTTATAATATTTACTTATAACGAAATGATTCCATTAATTGGTTTATTGGTTTTTTTAGTGCTGTGGAAGATCTGAAATTAATAATTGCTCCTGATGCTGCAACTTTAATTTCTCAGGGGGACTCACTGGTGCTTGAAACGCATGGTAAACAGGGCAGCGTTTCTCGACTTGTAATGAAAACACAAATTATTTTACGTGAAAAATTTCGTGAAGTGCAGCAGTCAAAGTACGTCATACTATTATTTATCATTATATATTACTTGTATATTAACTTCAATTATTTTATCATTGTTATTATTACTATTATTTTATTAGTCATAGAAAAAGCTTTCAGATCATTGTACAACTATTGGCATTATATTATGTTTTGTTTACTAATTATTTGTAATAAAAATTTTGTTTTTAACGGGTTAATTGGTCAGTAGTTAAATAATACAATTTTTAAAAAAGTTTTGTATTATTATTTTGTTTTATTTATCTAATTATATATGCTTATAGGAGAAAATTGCTATGTTTAATATAAAATATTTCAAGTTTACCCGTCATTTTAGCTTATTTACTGTCTGTTTGTATATTATTATCATATCTGTTTGTATATTATTATCATATTATAAATATATAATAGTTTTATAATTGTAATTTTTTTTTGAATAGTTCAATACAATACATATTAATTTTATGTATATAATACAAGATCTTTGGCTTTAAAGGGTTTGCTCATTAAGACGAAAATCCTTGTTTCAAAAAACAAAAAAGTGTGTACTACCGAAGTACAGAATGTCAAAGTATCGACTATCGGAAAAACACCTTCAGTAGAAGAATTTATTTTTTACTACTCATAATGATAGCACAAGCAGTCCACTTCGAAGACTGATTGCAGTAAAGCAGTGCATGATACATGAAAAATACTTCTAATAAAATTTGTAGTATATCTGCATATTAATTATATTATTAATAAACAAAATAATTGTAATATGATGATATACTGTACCGGCACATGCCAAGAACAAAGACCTGCATTTCTTAACATCAAGGACTCACTTTATAAAGTAAAAATACTTTAAAATGAAACATCCTGCATATATGTTATACAAATAACGTAAACCTAAAATATTGTCTGGTAAATATTTCTTGTAACTTAAGTAATGTGATTATCAGTTGTAATCTGAAACGAAATCTTATTTATTTTATTTCCTATTTATTTTATACGTACACGATCAATTTCATCAAACTTCCCAATTTAGCTGTAAATATTGCGATTTATATGAATTGTTCATTTGCAAATATAATAAATATATAGATACATTGAATATAAATGTAAAGATGTGTTGTTATATATACTCTAGGCTATAAAATATACAATATAAATTATGGTTCATTACATTATTAGTAAAAATAGATATTTCTTGATAATCATTCCGTATCAATAGTCTCGATAACCTTTGGAACATAAGCGTACTGTATTTAATTTCTAAAACTTAATAATACGTTTTATATTTATTGTTATATGATATTTACTATAATATAGTCCTTGTTCATGTCACTTGCCTTCTACATTTTTATCTTTGTTTTATATGTTTTACTTTCAGAATTTATTTTCATTTTATTTATATTTTAATTTATTTATATTTTAATTTATTTATATTTTAATTTATTTATATTTTAATTTATTTATATTTTAATTTATTTATATTTTAATTTATTTATATTTTATTTTATTTAACCACGTATGTTGGCCTATGTTTGATTTTTTTTTTATTTCGTAACTCCAATTATTAATAGATTTATTTGCTATTTTTAGGTCTAAAGTTCCTGAAGTAACTGCGACCAACGATAACGGTGAAACATCAAGTCCTCGTTCCACTTTAGAAAAGTTGAGCATAAAAGGTATCAATGTAGAGGAATTAGTTTGCAAAGGACTCAAGCGTATTAATGATTTGATTGAAAAGCCAGTAGACCATAATTCAATAGAGGAACTGGAACGACGGCTTAATGAAGTGAATGTACGTAATGAATCAATATTTCTTAATCTGGTTGCAGTTGTGGTTTTTAATTATTTTCTTATATTTGTATTAGCTAATTTTTCATTTCATTTATATTTGCACATAGTAACAGCTATGAACCGTAGAAAAATACAATCCAATTCCACAGTTTACTGTATTGTGGATATTTGGGCCAAACGCCAAATTGCATTTCCCACATCTGTGTACTGTCCAACTAAATTATTTGTCTATTTCCTTCAAATACATTTAAGCAATTAAATCATCCGAAAAATGAAAGAAAATTATATTCATTTGAAACATATGTTTTTCCGCACGTTGCGTATGGAAACAATCTTTTAACAATGCAATTGATCACTGCACAGTACGAAAGATTGATTACTGCATTTAAATGGATGCGGGGCTTTCCATGCTCACGCCAAAGACAAGTTAATTGCCCTCTTGTATTATTTGGGTTACTGTCTGTCTGCTTTTCCTACAGAATGGTCCCACTCTATCTCAAACAACAAGTGTGTGAGAGAAATATTTTATTTTTTCAGAGAGAACAAAACTTTGGTGCTCTACTCTTCTGTTTAATAATAAACATTGTTTGCAGAGATTTGTTCGGTAATTGAAATTCGTGGCGCTCATTAATGGAGAGGGGAGAAGGTAGTAGTTGGAGCAAATGTGTTTGTTTTTGGTTATATTTTTATTGAATTAGATCTTAAGAAGAAAGTGGACTATGTGCATGAACTTTGAAACATACAGTAGTGTTAACATTTCATTTATCACAAATTTAGTTCAATCTAAACTAAAACAAGAACTACTGTTACTGTGGTTCTAATAGAACACAGTAAACTGTCTTTCTTAAACAGTCTAGAATTCAGCATATTCATCCACATTGCAGAGTTAAGAATTTTAATAATACAAAAATTACTAAGCAAGAATTATTGAAAGTATATTTGAATTCCTAAAAACGCTTAATTGATGAAAGTGATTTAAATTTGATTCCTTGAGAACTTATATTAAGCCCGAGTATACATATGTATATATTCTTAACCAAACTATACTATACAACACACATGAACGCATTGATAAGATTAACATATGTTAATGTCGCAGTTTATGTATTGAAGTTTCAATACATAACACATACATACATAGATATTAACTTAAATATTGGTGAGAAACAATTTCATTTAAATGAGCATTACGACTACCTTTACAGATGCCAATACTTCAAGTACTGTGAGTTGCAGCTTCGTCATCATCATAATATATTCATGATCTTGACATTATTCAATTCATTCAATAGAAAATCAATTATAGATTTATATTAATTTATTTGTAATTTGGTTTTAACTTTTTCATGCTCATCAAAGAAATGATGTTCGGTGATGGGTCTTGAATAAATATCACATCAAAAACTAATTCCAACTAGCGATTTCGATAGAAACTTCTTTGTTTTTAATTATTTTCATTAAATTTGAATGTAAAGTGTTGGGGACTCATTCCTATTTTCCGGCACGCTTACTAGCAACGGATTTTAGTAAATTAAATAATTGACAGCTATTTTTAACAATTTAGCCCAGTACACTATATGACCATATAGCATAGTTTTCGAGAAGCCAGAGCGCGTCTACTTGGTACTAACAGACGACTGTGAAATTTAGTGTAAAAATTGCATATACTTGTCGGCCTTAAAGGGCGCGAATATGCAATTTTTATCACTTTAGTCAATGTGTATATCTCAAGACAGTAAACTAGTTCGGCATATGGTTTAGTGGAAAAAGTTGCAAAAACAGCAAACTCTACTAACATCCTTTGTGAAATAGACGTACTCAGGAAACTAGAATTAAGCCAAAATCGGGATAGTTAAATAGAAATAGAAATAGAACTATACATTATTACATTAAAAAAACAAATGGGTTTATATTGAAACATTCAAATTATTTACTAATAAATTGGTATAAATGCAAAAGTGATTGATTAGGGAATTTATTTTTATATTTATCGAGAAACAGTTCTTATATGGAACACAATTTCACACAGTGAATAATCTGCGAATCCGATTGGTGTGGGAACATTTTACAGTAATCATTATATTGCGATGATTGTAAACGTAATAGAAAGGAATCATTTTTCAAAAACCAATAGAACATTCCGCTTAGTTCTTATAGTGGAATGGGCTTGGCGTTACTATGCCAGAGTTTAACTCAGAAGCACAATTTGAATGTCGACTCACATTTCTTAAATGTTAGATAGCTGAGCTGATTGACGTTAGAAGTATAAAGTATATATATATATTTGCGAATTTCTATCATTGCTAAATATTTTCATTTATTTGTTCCACTGTGCTCGATGCACTACTGTTTAAGTTTCTTGGAACATAATTCAATTTTCTGTGTTGCGGGGGCGAAATCAAGCCCAACTAAAAATATCAAAAAACACTAAAAGTGCCGCAGTAAAAAAGCTAATTTTAAAGTGCGGTAGAATGTGAAAAGAACATCAACATCAAAATAAATAAATAAAATGAGCAACAATTTTTCAAAATTTATGTTTTATATTACGTTTAGTTTAAATTCTCATTAAGTCTTGGAAAAATCAACACCATTTTTTATTCGAAAATGAAAACGTAACGCTCCCAGACAGCAAAAGTAACACAAACGCCCGCGTCTTTTTTTCAAGATTTGCTCGCGGCGTGTCTACAAGAATTGCTTATTGCGTTAGTATGAAATTTTTTGAACTTATGTCGGACGTGCCGCCGCAGTACAGCTTTTAAGCGCATTCCGTATAAAAGATATAAAAAAAGTGAACTGCATTGCACAGGAGTTCCAAAATGTATCTAAATTGAAAGATAATAAGAAATTTCTCACAATAAGAAATTATCTTCTAAGATTGCATAGTTTGGTCCTTGGACAAGTGCTTGGACTCCAAAAGAGTTTTATTTGGTATCTGATTTTTGTGCATCGAGTATCTCGTGAGTGTCACGCGAGTGTCACGTGCGTACTCGTAAGCTATCACTGTGGTTAGAAATTCATGTCTTTCAAACATAGAGAAATCCAAACCAATGTTATTTCTTTTTCGTTGTGATAAATACAAAATATTGAAATCATAAAAAATATTGAATTTTTTGACTAAACATGTTATGCTTGTTGTGTTGAAACTTCAATAAAATCATTTTTAATAAAAAAAAAGATTTTTTGTTACAAAAAAATTCGGTCTAATATTTTTTTGAAAATTTTTTGATATTTAGATATTTTTGAATGTAAAGTCAACTCTTCATTTTCTTCAAGGTGTGTTTAAAGTTTTAGAAACTTAATTCAAAGCTATTTCGCTAAATTTGGTTTTATTCTGAAATAAGATTTAATGGCTTTCATATCCACAGGATCGACGTGACGATTTAAAATTGATTGTCAATGCGATTGGGAAAAGTGAACAAATGCCAAAGATAAATGCTGTCATGATGGACGATATTGAAAAGGTGAGTTTTCCGTAATTAAAGAACAAATAAAAACAAA